TAAGAAGTTTAAAGCCATCCAGTCCCGGATGTCAAGCCAGGCAGTCATGTTCATCACATGTCGTTTGGCATCATTTTAAATGTCATTCATGCGTCATTTTACCATACCATATCATACCATTTTATTTATAGAGAACTTAAAACAGCGACAAGGCCAACCAAAGTGCTGTACAGACAGAACAACGGGTAACACACAAAGCAAAATACAAAATGGAAGTAAATCAGAATATAGACACATAAACATTTTGTCAGCACGAAAGCTGCTTTTCAATTAAACTTTTATCAATTGATACCAAACCATAATGTCAAGTATGATTCCAAATGACACGTGAAAATGAAACAAGCAAAGTAAAAAAAAAAAACCACACACATAATGAATTTACATTTCAACAGTTTGTCAACTATCTAAACAACGGTACCTAGGATGTGTGAACTGGATAAATCCAACAGTTTATTATAAACGCAACACCAGATTGTCATTTGAGCTCACATTTGATGGTATGCTGTAGTGTCAATCAGTTTTTATTTAAAAATAAATGTTCATACATAAAGTGCAACCCACCATAGGAAATCTTTTAGAACATCACGAGTTGTAGACGGTCTAAACGATTGTAACTTACATGTGTGAACTCTTCGACTATTTCTAGACGACGAGAACTTCTCTGGAAAATACTTCCATTTGGTAAGATCCAGATGTTTCAGTCTAATTACCGCAGCTCAGTGAAACCTGACCACAATCTGATCCAATGAACTGATTTACTGTGTGGCGTAGATCGATCCTGATGTAGACGAGGCCCAAGGGAACAATCCAGAGAGGAAGAAGTTAAAACTGAAGGAAGTGCACCTCACCAAGCTGCTGTCCACCAAGGCAAGACCAGAACTGATACCACTTTCTGTTTTCATTGTGTGAATGTTCCTGAAGCATTCACTCTGCTGCGATATGTTTTTCCTCCACATATATTTCTACGTCTTTCTCGTTCACCATATTTTTTGCTATATCAACAAATCAAAAATCAAAACATTCAGCTCATTCAGGACAATCTTGATATAACTGTTGGTATTGGTGCAACTTTAGCTTTTTGAAATATTTAGCATTTTCAGCCATTTTTTTTTCTCGTAGAATTTGAATTAAGCTCATTTTACATCCTTCAAATCTTTAAATGTGTTAACAAATTTTTACTGCTCCTTGTACATTTTGTTCTGCCTCAGCTTCAGCTTTTTTAAATCGTTTTAGAAGTCATACTATAGTACGTGTCTTTTTTCATCAGTTTGGAAGTCAGACTATATAGTATGTGTTATTTTTCACCAATTTGGAAGTCATACTATAGTATGTGTCTTTTTTCATCAGTTTGGAAGTCGTACTATAGTATGTGTCATTTTTCACCAGTTTAGAAGTCATACTATAGTATGTGTCTTTTTTCACCAGTTTGGAAGTCATACTATAGTATGTGTC